CATGAAATTATTTTGATGACTTAATCATGATTAGAATTTGCATATTAAATATTTGTAGTCCTAACATTAAAACAGAAAGAGATGTAATCTTAAATCATTAGCTATAAGATTTAAAGCTTGTGTTATATATTGAGACAAGTTCTGCTCGGAGTGATAGTTTATACATAAAAAATGTTACTTTATGGTTACAATTTCTGTTTCTTGACCATTCAGTGATGGAAGACAGCAAAACAAAAGAGTATGATATTCACTCAAAATCACACACAGCCAGTTTTATACTTTGGTGACTTTTTGTAAAGGGTTTTTAAAAATTGCTTTTGAGAGGGGCTGGGGATTTAGCTCCACTGCACAGCGCCTGCCTGACAAACGCAAGGTCGTGAGTTTGATTCCTGGTACCGGAAAAAAAAAACAAAAAAATTGCTTTTGAGTAGTATTTTATTTAGTATGCTTTATAGTTGGCTTTAATATTATTTTAGTGGAAAATATGCATTTCACACCTTGCAAATGAGGTTGAGGTGAGTATAGAGACAGAGGGGAGTATACACCAGTAAAAATACCGGATTTTCTGGATATATTTATGGAATCTAAGAACAAGTTAGACAAAACATATTAGAAATGCTTTCCAGAAGGACTGTGGCACAGCTCACTCTATGAATTCTCATTTTTAAGGTTAATTTTGGAGTTTATAAAGCAAATGATCATAAACTCCTACATACAATTTCAGTCCTAGTAGAAAAAAGTGTTTATACCCATGGAACTTTTAAAATACTTCCTGTTGTATTTTGAGGACTATAGTATTTCATATAACTGGTAGCAGAGAAAGTAGAAAATTTATTATTTTGAAACCTTACATAGTAATTGAGTGTTTAGAGTTACACATAAAACGTCTTGATTTTCAGAATAATTCTCAGAGATAAATGAATCTATTTTATCAGTCTTTAATTATATACTCAGTTGCTAGGGAATATTTATGTATAAAAATTAGATTCTAGTAGATTCTACCCTATTGTATATCTGTGTGGCTAGATATATAGGTATACAGACACCAGGTAACAATTGTATTTTGAAACCATAATACGTGATTTTTGACTTTTATTTAACATTCTTACATATCTCAGTTTATGAATAATAAAATAATTTTCTGATGGCTTTGAGATATCTTTCAATTATAAAAATAATCCAGCACAAACACATGAATGGCATTTACATTTGATTATCTCAGGTTTTCCAGTTACTTCAGGGATGTTCCTTGGTTATTGTAATTTTATCGTGTTCCTGTTCCTTTGCTGAACTACCGTCTGCCTGTATAATATCCAAGCTTACTTCAGCCTCTTCGTGTAATCTTAATGGTTATTTTCTATTGATTCTCACAAGTCTTCAATTATTATTGGGAACTTTAAACACTTTAATGCCAAAATTGCATTAATCTTTATTTTATTCTAAGGAACATCTATGTTTAACAGTGTCCATGACTTTGCTGTCATTTTAGTGCTTTATTTGCTTATTCATTTTTGTGCCTGAGCAATCCTTATGCTTAGAAAATTCTGTCACAGTTCATGACTGTGGCACAGCGTGAAGGAGGGAAGACCACTCAAAGAGGACTGTGAGTCAGTGGCCAACTCATGATCCAAGAGGGCCCGAGAGGCTGCCGCTGACCTGAGAGCCCTGCACCAAACAGGAGGGTCTGACAGGGACAGCCCCAAACTGAAGCCTCTGTGGCGATTTATTACGAGAACCAGGAAGCAAGGGTAAAGGTCAAAGGAAGATGTCTGTGGAGGAGTTCATGTAGGGCACAGGGGAAGAACCAAGCAAGGACAGGGCAAGGTCAGGGTGGCTGACCTTTAAATGTTGCAGGCCTGACCGTAGGGCCAATCTAAGGAGTAAATCAGTAGGGTGGGGATGAGGGCTAGCGCATTTGTAAGGCTCTGGCCCTCATCCTGTTTTGATCCTACTTGGACCCGTGGCCCTTTTAATCTCTCACCATGCATTCTAGGAGGTTTGGGGCATGTGGCGCCAAAAGTCCTTTACCTCTGCATACACAGCTGTGGTCAGTGCCCCCACAAAATTCCACCTCACTTCCTTTAAACTGCAGTCCATACTCCTTTATACAATGCTGCCTTAAATTACCTAAAACAATCTATGCATGATGCTTAAACATTTCCTGATATTAACTGATAAACTTGTGTGTTATATTTAATTATTTGGTGCAGTCACTCTGAAAGATAAAAGAATATGCATTTGCTAATATCATTTTTCTCCTTTTGTAGTACTTGTTTCATTCTGCTCTGACTGCTGTTGCAGGTGGCCGTAGACCAGGTAGCTTATAGGGAACAAAAATTTGTTTCACATAGTAGTAGAATCTTGAAAAGTTCAAGTTCAAGGCACTGACGATTTGGTGAGTGTGAGAGCCCATTCTTCATTTGTTTGTTCACTGTGTCTTCATAAGGTGGACTGGACAAGGTGTTAGTGGAGTCTCACTTACTAGTTCCATCTATGAGGGGTTTGCTCTCATAACCTCGGCACCACTCAAAGGCTCCACCTCCCAAAACAGCTACATTGGTAATTTCACTTCAGTGTGTTACTTTGAGGAGATACACAACATTTCATTCACGGAAGCATCTGCAAACTTGTAGAATCTATATTTAAAGATTTTCATAGAAAATGAGGTTTTCATATCAGCTTAAAATATGCTGGCTTATCATATCTCTGAAAGAAATTCGTTGTGATTTGTGCTTTTGTTCAGTAACTTCTCTGGTTCTCTTTATTTCCTTACACAATTTGCTCTTTTCAATCTTTTGAGTTTTGTTTTCTTATACAAAGTAGCAACCTGCTGAGAAATTTATGAGAGAATTGTTAAAATTAACATGTTACTGTCTGTTTTAAGTTTCCTCTCTTCAGATTTAAAAGATACTTAGCATAGAATCCTTTATGAGTTCTACCTTGGAAAGTATAGATAATTGCTTACATTACAGTTGATATTTAAGACATTTCATCTTCTGTTCTAGGCTTTTTTTCACGGCAAACTGTCTCTGAACACATTCCACTCATCCAGTGTTCTGATTGTCCAATGTTAAAGTTTTCTTAAACATCTGGAATATCATGCTTGTAAATCTCTTCACTTTAAATGTTTCTGCCATGGCTTTTTCCCCACAATATTTCATTGTTCCTGCTGACATGGGGTATTACTAGGGTTTCTTTTTCAAATGCAAACTATACTTTCATGTTTTCATGGGTTTGTTATATAGATACATTTGTACATATTTAATCAACAAAGGTTGTTTGTAAATATAATACTTTGGCTATTTTGTTTTTAACTTTGATGGTCTGAAATTTATGATAATTTCTTTCATATTGTCCTTCATTACAGCTTTAGTTTAATTTCTGTTAGAGTTTACTTTTAATGGTGAATTTTGATTTAATTGTATTCTGCCATAATATTAAGAAAATTAACATATTTCAGATTTATAATTTTAGTTGTAAATTATCATTTCTATGCTTTCATATTTTATTAATGATACTTAAACATTTCCTGATATTAACTAATAAACTTGTATGTTATATTTAATTATTTGATGCAGTCATTCTGAAAGAAAAAATATGCATTGCTACTGCCATTTTTCTCCTTTTATGGTTTTAAAATAATCAAATCCAGAGTTGTGGAGTGATTAGAGTAATATACCAAAAAGAAATAGACACTACTACTAATTTTCACTTTGTTAAGTTACATTTTCAATAACTCTAGTTTTTTCCGTATATGATGGAGTAATAGTCATATGGTAAGTGAACAAAGGAATATTTGTAAAAAAAATACTTAATATGTTTACATCATTTTATGGTATTTTAGAGTATTAGTAAAGTTTATATAAAATGATAAGTTAAGGGAGGACAGTGGATAAGCCAAATGAAATTAAGGTGATCACTAACTAATTAAGTACCATAAAAGAATCAGGTAATTTAAGAGATCTTTCTCTAAAGGACTGTCAATCCTAAATATGAAAACTTAGTTAGGAACAAAAAGTCCTTTAAATACAATCACTGTAAATTGTCTTTTTGTACTTAGCATTATAAAATTTAATATCTTCATTTTTAATATACTGGTAACAGAAAGAAATAAGGAGTGATACCATTCACACACTATAATCACTTTCATTAAATAGTATCTGGTCTCTAGTGTTTACTCAAGTCTTGTACAAGTAGGAATGATCTAGAAACAGTAGATTTAGATTAATAGTTACTGTTTTAACAACCTCTCTCCTTTAAATTTTTATTACCAGGTTCTTTTACCTGAAGACAATGCTGAATTAAAAATGTCTTTATGTACTGTAGAGAAAAGCTAACTAAATCAGCATTTTACTTACCTGTCCTATAGTCAGTATTAGAGAAAAGTACAATCAAAATATATTTTTATGTTGCAATATTATGGATTATTTGAAGCAACTGATTATGAGATATAGTTTCATTAAAATATAATTAGTGATATGTTAATTTTAGGTTAACACATAAAACACATGCAATAGGTAGATGGATAGATGGATTGATAGGACTGTTACCTTTTTATAGTACACATAGAAATAATTCTTATAAGAAAACTCATTCATGTTTGCTAAATTACATAACATAAAATATTTAAATTTTTAAAAAATTCAACTTGTAAATATAGTGTATCAAAAGTCTCAGATTGTTCTGAAGTATTATACTTCATTTTGTATAAAGACTACCATCCTAAATAATTCAGGTTTCCTTAGAAATTGTATATATGTATGTGTAGTTCTAAGAATGCAGTTATACACATGCATATTTTCAAATATGTCCTAATTTGGATTTATACATTGTAATTACATTTTTCATGAGAATATTATTAAATTGACATGGAATCTCATTATTGAAAATGAATATTTGATGTCATACCATATAGCACCTTCACCATGAAAAGTTGCAAAAACAGCGTGGACAAAAACCTCCTAAGGAAAATTTGATATAGATTTCCTATGCTTTTCCAGACCTATTTTCAACACTGCTAAAAGGGGGGAAAATTCGAGAAGGCACTGAAGAGACGGCCTCACCAGACCCCGATGTTACTTCTGCTCTGGATGTACATGCTGCAGCTCCGTAGGAGCCAGGTTGGAAAAGTTTCTAGGAAAACAGCATATTCATGTGTAGCGTATTTTTTAAGTAGCAAGATTCTTTTTCTGTAACAGTTTGTTTTTATAGGCCCCAAAGTTGAGTAAGTTATAAAGTCCACATTGCAGTTTGAATTTAACATTAATTTTCTTAATTGTTTTTTTATAAATATCAATGATAGAGTTTAGATTTTCAGAAATGAAACATACTGGTTTAAAGCATGCAAAATTATCTGATTAAGAAGCATCATATGTCTGTTTTATGCAGAAAGTATCAAGCTGTTATGGAGCCATTAAAATGGTAGATTATAAAGTTGTTATAAACTGTCACATTTTTATCAAATTTCTCAGGCTTTTCTGTGTATAGAATGTGATGACAGTAGGAAATTTGTATAACTGTGTTTGGCCCATACCTCTAGCACAAAACAACTTACTGCTTTTGATTTTCAGTGAAATTTTAAAAGTAGTAAGTATTTATTTGTCGTTTAGTTCCTAACTCAAAGACTCTGTAGTTAATCATCAGCATGACTTTGAAAGGGCACTTTTTTTGTCCTAAGACGAGCCTCACTAACCTACATTTCAGATTTTGCTTGGTTTTGAAAATATATCAGATCTCCATTCAGAATGTTGAAATGTAACATAGAGAAGTGTTAGCAATTTTATGAATAATTACATAAAATAACTATAAGCATAAATAATGTATTTTGGACAGTGAAGATTTATAAAGATTCAATTGCCTAGAAATGACTAAGATTTATTAACATGACAAATGTAAAACTAAATTTAATTTTGACTGTAGGGATTTAAAAACTAATTAATACAGTTAAGTTTTAAATAAAAGAACCAAGGAAAGTAATAGGAAGTACTCTTGATATTTTAAAACCTGTAATAATAGGTGCACAGAAATTGGGAGTTAACTTTGCATGTATGTAAAAGCTAATGTTAAAATATCAGTTATCTATGCATATTTAATGAAAATGTGTCATATCTAAACTTTAGGATGATTTTAAAAACAAAGTCTTGATAGTAATCTATACTTGTTGTATAGCCTTTATCACATTTCCATTACATTACAAGTACTATTTTAGGTGTGTCTATTTTGTTTTGCTTCTATAGCATTGAAATGTAAATACTTTGAGAGAAGCAATGGTATTTCCATATTCCATTTATATTTCAGTCTTTCATGAGCCCTGATAAGTTGATTTTCAATGATTATTTCCTTCTTATGGCTGTTAACCGAGCTCATTGTAGAAAATTAGAAGCATCAGAAGCAAATATTTGCCTATATGTGCTTGATTGACTTTTTTTCAAAGTAGGTTGTCATTTTTGTAACAATTTATATTCATTAACTCATTAAGATACTTTTTAGTCTTCTACCTGGAATCTAGAAAGCAAAAATGGAAAATTATATTCCTGATGTGAACAGACCTAGAATGGTCATCCGAACTATATTTTAAAATATTGATAACATTATGTTGTATTGCATAAACAATCAGACTGAACTGTCCATTCATTAAATTACTGACACATAATTAATAATGTAAATTTCTTTAACTTTTATGATGAAGCATCACTAACAAATTTGGCTGCTCTAGATTCTGTAGCTATGATACGGATTAATGAAATTGAAAAGAAACAAGACATCAAGAAAGAGCTCTCTGTATCATTTCTAATTTTTTGTTATTGTCTTTAATTGTTTGATTATTCTTACATCCTTACATTTGGTAATCTGAGCAACTTCTTTGAAGATAACAATATGTAATATAACCACTGTTAATTTCTACCATCTTGCTTTGAAATCCTGTATCATTTTTATTGTTTTTGTGTTGTCTTCATTGTTGTTATTTTTCTATTATTGTTATCAATCTATTGTTTTTGTTTTTGTCTTCATTATTGTTATTTTTTTCCTTTTTTAAAATTAAAAAAGGGAACAGAGCAGCAACTGTTAGAGGGAAAGTGGGCCAATGAGCATGATTTTCTAACCAGTTGACAGGAAAGCTAGCCTCCTTATCCTGTTAATCAATAGGTAACTTTAATGAGTGTGTTAAATATCTTCTTTTCAGTACAAAATAAATGGTCATAGATAGATCAGCTTCAGGGGTAGTGATACATAAAGATAAACAGTAGTGCTCCAGACACCTGCTTCAGTGGATAAAGCAAAAGCCCAGACAGGTTATAAGACAGGACTGCAGTCCATCACAGGCCATCTGGTACCCAAGAGATAAAATAGTGCAGCCCACTCTTTTTTGCCTCATAATAGAGATTAACTTTGTGCATATGTACGTATATGTCTGCATATCCATGTGCATTTGGGTATGCACGTATGTATATATCTGGGGGTGTGCGTATCTGTGCACATACACAATGGTATTAAATTTGTAAATGAAAGCTCACAGCCTACACTTTGATGCATTGGCTCTTTCAAAATGTACCACAGGAATGGTATATATATATATATGGTATGTGTAATGCACAGTTAGATATATATAAAATGGTATATAGAATGGTGTATATATGTATATATTTTTACAAATTATGAGCCTACATTGACACGTCATTATGCACAGTATCCGTGGTTTACATTGGGGTTCACTACATCCTGTGGGTTTGTATAAATTTATTATGCTATTTACCATTATACTTCCACACAGAGTTAGTTCAGTTGCTTTGCACAGAATTCTCTGTGCTCCGACTGCTCATCCCTCCCTCCTGCTGAACCCGTGGCACTACTGCTCTTTCTGGGTTCTCCTAGTTTTGCATTTTCAAATGTCATACCACTGGAGTCACACCGTTTGTGTCATCTTTAGATTGGCCCCTTTCACTTCATAATAAGCATTTCAGTCTTCTTGATGTCTTAACACGGCATGACACCTCATTTAGACACTGAATAGTATTTAGACCCTGAATAATACTTGATTTTCTGATATACCTGTTGTTTTTAAAAAATGGACATCTGTACATGTTTTGAATATTTTCCCAGCCACTTTTAATAAGGGTGAGTGCCAAACATGGAAGCTTTGTTTATACTTTGATAAAACTCATCTTTACGTATTTTAAGGTAGTCAGTAGTCAGTCCAAAGTGGACTGCTGTGTAACTTTTCATGTGCTCTTTTGCTTCTGTGTGCTCTGTACATCCGTGAGAAGCTAGCCATTGCATGTTGACTGTCGCATGGAAACGCAGCTCTCTGTGTGCTTGTAGCTTTTGTTCTGTTATGATTGTCAGGCCGTGATGGGATTTTTGCTATTTTAAAATATATTTCAAAATTGAGGGGTTAATGCACTTTTTAAACTTTAGGAAAGTGCCATACTAACCTTAATGATGTTGCTATGTTTCCCTGAAAGTTAGGAAAAGAAATATGTGATAATTTAAAAATCAATACATTAATGAAAAATAGCAAATATTTAAAACATTATATGATTTTAAGAAAAAATAAATGAAGAGTCATTTAATACTGTAAAATACGTTTGTGGAGGGAAGGGTCTTGATATCAGCTGAGTGATCCTTCTTCCACGTTCAAAGTCTTCCTGTACCCTGAATTCAAGAAATTGATAGGTTGTAGAACACATGCAAAATCAGTGCAAATCCAGCCAGGTTACTACTTTACTGGAGCAAACACATCTATTTCATTTCTGACGTAGAGTGCTTTGTGGTAGCTGACCAGTATTCATGTAGCAGAGAATAAGAGCAAGGTTCAGAAGGGTAAGGGCCCCAGAACAGGTGGATTCCTACAAAATGTGATTGTCCTCCCCACCCTCTGCTGCCTCTTTTAACTGTGGATCTTTAACTTCTGAGTGGCCGAGACAGTTAGGAGCCATTGCTTACAGTCGCTGCCATGCTGTCACCTGGTACCATGGTAGTGTTTTTTAAGTGTCTTACATTCTTTTTCATACTACTACATAAAATTGAAGTTAAATATGGGCTTTTGTTTCTGTTGCATTTACTTGTTAAATCAAATCCAAGAACACTGTGGCTAATTTATAAAGGTAAACCAAGTCCAAGATAAAGAAGGCTCTATCCCAGCTACTGATTGGTAGAGAAGAATTGGGAGTGGCCCTTTACTTTTTTTGAAAGTTATTCTCCTATAGAATTTAACTGAAATTAATAAAATGAAAATAACATGACAAGAGGAATTAATGGATGTAGAAAATATTCTGTGCAAAGGCAGTGTAATGCAGTCATTGAGAAGATGGGGTGTTAAAAACATATAGAAGCACAACTGATAATATACCTAACTCTTGGAAACAGCCTAGATGCTTATCAACACATGAAAGAATAAAGAAAATGAGGTTTTTATATACAATGGAGTATTATGCTGCCATAAAGAAGGATAAATTAGAGACTTTTTAGGTAAATGGGTACACCATTAGGACATAAGTAAAATAAATCAGATTGAAAGCATCATTTCTCATTTACAAGCTGTGTAATTTTACATGTCTATTAATTTCTTTATTTTTTAAAGTTAGGTCAATAATTAATGACGTCATGAGATTTCCTTGATAATTAAATGAGATATTTTATGAGATTTACATTAACAGTGAAATATAAGGTTATCTGGCACATGAAATTAAACCTCTATATTTAATAGGAATTGTAAGCCACTGAAACCTTGTTGAAATGAGGTAACAATTTCAATAACTGGGAAATATTAAAATGGGGGAAAAGATGCATGTGGAGAAATTATTTTATTTGACTAAAAACAAATAGAGTTTTAAATTGTGTTTATTTTCTTCCTTCAGCTGCTATTTAAGTCAGTGTTTTTACCACTTTCCTCGCCTTCCCTGGACATTTATATGCAGCCCCCTGGGACATCTCATTTGTAGCTACCATGCTCATAGAACTTTCCATGTTTTCCAGAATACTTGGTGCACCATAGAACTTTGTCTGAGGAACTGCAACATAATCTTAATTGATTTCTGAAAATTCAAAGTTTTTGTATTCTCTTTAAAATTAATTTTTGATACACTTTTGACATACATACTGATCACGTGCATCATGCAGA